TCAAGTTTTGTCATAATCAGTTCAATAGTCTGAGAAAAATCTAGTATAATGTAAGACGACATCTACAGCGATTCAAGCAAAATTTCTTCGAAAAATCAAAATCAAGCTGCTTCATAATAGAATATAGTGTGGACCAATAAATGATTAAATATTTATCTCATCTGCCTACAAACAATTGAATATGATACAAAAGATGACTCTAGGATGATAAATACCACTAATGGACCTCTTTGTCTTCCTTATAAGGTTCCTTTTGGTCCATTTATACCTCTCATTTCCTCAAAATTTAAACTTTTAAGGCCAATAAATAAAAAATCTGGGGTAACTTTCACTCATTTATGAAAGAAATGTGATAATAAATGAGTAATTGAAGTATTCAAGCTGAATGAACTATCCACATAAAAGTTTACTGACTCCATGGAGGTTTCAATATGTACTTATGTAAAACTTAAATTTACACCGCATTCCAGAAAGGTACATAAAAAGCTTCCCTTTAAGTGAATAATTTGTTGTTACTGCTTCAAAAATAATTTCATTTACTTATAACTATATATGCATTAAAGTATTACTTAGGAAAAAGTTTTCTATTATAGCAAAATATAAGAAATAAGGAGAAAAAGTCAGAAAAAGCTCCCCAAAACACTGAGTATGGCTTGCTCTGTCTACTAATATTCATGGTAGAGTCCTATTTCAAGGCAATTTTCTCATAAAATGTGTTTTTGTGACTCAATATACTCAGAATATTTCATTTTTGTGATATTTCACTTAAATATCATGAAATTTTAACAAATGAGAGTACACACAAGGTCAAAGGTGCATGTGCAGCTTCCCATAATAGGTGTAATACCACCATTAATTTTCACCTATTAGTCTTTGTTAAATTTGCACTTTTCAAAAAATTGTACAGAATTTATCTTTGTTTCAAATAAAGAAATACTTAGCATGAGTAAAGTTTTATCCTGATCAATACTATAGACAAAATTTCACATAACATTTCATTGCATATAAGAAAATACCCATCACTGGAAGTTAACCAATCAAATTTTCGCCCCTTTTTTTCCTGTGTACAATCTTTAGTAACCATGTAACCTCAAGTTTCCAAAATATTCTATAGAAACACCAAATAATAAAAAAAAATGGTGCTTTGAAACATATATGTTTATGACTCAGAAATTTTTTACTGCAATGAAATGTAGGATTAATTTCCTACAACTGTCAAATGCAAGGGAATATTTTTTTTCAACCCTTTTTCGTATGCAACCGGATGTGACGTACTATGATTTGGTGGTATAACACCTCAACAGTTGACATTTTAAGTTTAATATTTGAATGATTTACAAACACTTTTCTTGTGACTGAATTATTTTGGTATGACTAGGTCTTGTTTCTCTCTTGTTGTGTATTAGATGGTGTCCCAAGAACATAAACTCATAGGCAGGTTACTATTCAAAGAAATGCATTGACCTATTATATTTAACATCATTATTTGATTCTCTGTACAAGTCAGGGCAAATGACCTTTTAATGTGTCATACTGTCCCTACCTGTGGTTCAAAATTATGTCAGTCAGAGGTCCATGAACTTTTATTTCAACAGGTGGACCTCAATTTCTTGAGTTATAAGTTACAAAGTGCTGGAGGAATTTCAAACTTTGAATTATTTCTTAACGATAGAGAGCAGACCTTATTTAATAAAAGTACCACTTTGGTTTGTAGAATTTCCAAAGTCCTGGACCTTTCACCTAAAAAAAAATTATACTGAGATTCTCCTTCAAAGGAAGAACAAACAAGACTTCAAAATTACAACTACGAAGGATTTTTCTTTTCAAGTTTAAAAAATTTTGAAATGATGTGATCCAATATTATTTATAAATAAAAACCATTATAATGTACTTACCATCAACCTGAAAAACCATGAATTTGTTTATGGTATAAACATAAAAAACTGTGTGAACTAAAGCATCACATTTTTCATTTAAAATCAACAAAAATGGACACATTGTCCTGCTTAGCATATTCAAAGTATGTATATGCAAACAGGAAGTAGGTATCTGACAAATCAGAAAAGCACAAACAGGTGCTCATCATATGTCTTCTGCACTGACTAAACAGTGACTATTTACATATGGTTTCCTATTTGGTTCTTATTAGATTCATTTCTTCCAGCTCATGTGACTGACTTTAGCTACAAACTTTTTTATAAACATAAATCATTCATGTTAGCATCAAAGCAAACTTTTTCATAAAAAGTCAATTTACAGACAGACTCTGAAATTTTTTTTTTTTCCAAGACTACTTTGTTTAAAATTTTTATAATAATCATACAGCAAAAAATATTTTATCAGACTAAGAGAGACAACTCTTGTTAAAATATGTTATTTCAGTGTCGTTTCACAGAAAAGATAACTTATTATTTAATTTGATTAAAAGGAGATATTCAGGCAGAAACCCAACAACACAATAAAATCAAAAAGACATCTAGAAGTCATATAAGATATTAAAACTGCTAAAAATAAGAATTCCAATATTTTGTTCTATAGCTTTTCTCAAAAGGTCTTTCATGCATTGATGAAGCTACTTATGGCTGTTTTGGTAAATATTATATGGTCTGACAGTATATCTAAGAGAATATCTTGTTTAACAAGGGATTCATATGATTATCCGAAACCCAGACTCCAGGATCAGTTGCAGATGTTATTTAAATTTATAAGATACCATTAGAAACTTTGATGGTCTTGTTAATGCGAGTTTGACTCTCAAGTGGGTTGTTGAGACTTAGCAAGCAGATGTTCATTGGTGACAGTTTACGATATTTCTTACATGCATTCAGAGTTATTTTCTGAATTCATAAAACTATGATAAACATACAAAACAAATAAGGAGTTCGTAAGAAAGAAATGTACCAGGATATTGTTCTATGATTTTTTCATGAAAGCTTTTAAATAATAACATCTGAAGAATTTATTTAAACACTGAACACAATCTACCAGAGGTAGTCATCATTATACAGTGGTCATTTTGCTTCTAAAGAAAACTGCATGGAACATGCAAACTTTTGTAGAAGCCACAAAGTGTAATTATTGGACATACAACTTGTAGCACAAGTAATCAGGGCCATAACATCCATAAACAATCTTATTGACACCAACTTTTGAATATGATATCAAATATCAAAGTGCTTGTGAGCACTGAAGGGTAAATATTGCATTCATTTTGCAGTGGTAACTAAAACCTTAACATTGAATTGTATATTAGGCATTGGAAGACAATACTATCAATTAGAGATATAATTGTAGTCGTTTCAACTACAATTATGTATAAAGGAGGATAACCCTAATTTTATATATTACTTTAACAATGCCATCATGGATATTTTAAGGACAGATACCAGATTCATACACCATGCACAATAAATGTAATTGTTTTGACAACTATCACATCATTTTGCAACTTGAATATCCAAGTACTGTAAATTCATAAATTATTGCGTGCATTTAATATTGCAATTTTTGAAGAATGGACAAAAATGTGAGATTAATTATTGCAATTTAAGGAAAATCTGCATACAGATATATGTATCAAATATCATAATGTGAGTTCTTATTATTGCATTACTCACCCAGTCGCATTATTGCCATTAAAAAAGCCTGACAATAATTTCTGAATTTAAAGTATATATTTCATTGATAAATTTCTTGAAATGCTCATTGGAAGGATGTATATAATGTTGTGCTCAATGCACGTTGTTTTGTGTTTATCAAAAATAGTGATAAAATCTGGAAAATTGATAACTATCATGCAAACCACACAAACGTTTTGATTGCATGAATACTATCTTTACCCCAATAATTTTTATCAAAACCCATCAAGCACTGTAAGAATGCCATTTTCTACATAGTTTTTTTTTCAAAGGGACATCACTTCCATAAAAATTTTCTATAAACCTTTCATAGATTTTCAAAATTTTTCAATTGGTACTACTTTAAGAATTCGATCCATATATTGTTAATTGAAATCTCTCATATCAAGAATCCAGATGAAAATTAACCAAGCTTCACCAAAAGGTAATTAGGTAAAAAATTCTCAAAATATGTATACAAAATGACACTATAATGTATGCACGCTTATATTACTGAATTTACAATAAGTGAATGGAATATATCTACATTAGTTCCATAGATGGCCTTGTAATGACTACTGCTTAAAGAAGCTTCATTTGCTCAAGAATACCAATGGTAGAATGTAAAGAACTGCCAGTAAAACTGAATGCTACATTTTATATTTCTAGAATGAAGATCATCAATTATTGTTTGCAGAATTTGCAGAATTTTGGCATTAGAGATAATGCTATATATTGAAAGTAAAAAAAAGAGCTGGCTCATAAACAAATTTTCTTCTCTTAAATTGTCCCTTGAATGATTTCTACAAAAACAGATTGCCTTAATATGTATTGTATGTGTTTAGTTATAGCAATGTAAATATAATGGTTGGTCACATGGTGGATTGATTGATTGATTGGTGTTTAACTCAACTTTCATCACTATTGTGCTATTGGTGGAGGAAGCCGGAGAGCTTGGAGAACCACCGACCTTCAGTAGTCACATTGTGGACAAGGTTCATCAAAGAAATTTTCTGTGTAATCACATCATGGGACCATTACACCGACATATGGTCAGAAGTAGTTTTCTAAATTGAGAGAAATGGGTTTAATTCCTATCTAGTGATGATTCTGTGGATTCATTTATGTTCTTGGGATACTAATTTTTGTGGATTTCATAGGTAGAGGAAAACTACAAATTTAAATACTTGACGAAATACAAATTTTGGTTACTTTGAATGGCGCAAATTACATGTATGAGACCAAGAAATTAAATACCTTTGAAGTGACATTATTTTCTCTAACCACAAAAAATTGACACCAACGAAAATAAACGAATCCACATATCATACTCCTTTCTCCTGGATATATGTCAATGTTTACAAACAAAAGTGGTGTACTAACCTCCTTGGAAGATAACAATGACCTTGGTACAATTTTTGTGCTTCCTGATATAACAGCTAGAGCGGCAGCAACAGCATCTACTGCTCCTCTCTCCTCCACCAAGGCTTGTGCTGATTCCCTGAAGTACTGTAATGTTTCATCATCAACCAGTTCTAATGACCTGTAATTAACAATATCAACTTATTATAGCATGTATAGTGGTGCTTTGGATTCATTAGTTTGCTACCTTTATAGAGACTGTGTTTTCATTGAATTTCTTATGAAAACCAGAGCGCCTGATGTAAAGACCACCAAATAGATTAAAAAACTCTTAACAATTAAAAGTTATTTGGCTGAATGGTGGAAGATTAGGTAATTGTTTGGTGGTCAATTCTAAGCTCAAAAACTAATTTACTTTAAAATGTAAGAAAACATTAATATGATAAGAATGTACCTTGCTTTGTACATGACTAACATGGAATGGCCAAATGCTAATCATGCAATTACATATAAGATTCCCTATGGATTGATCCCATGATCCTCTAACTCAAGACAAGCATGCTGCCACAGAAGCAGCTCTATTACCCAAGAGGTGCAGAAGTTAATATCAAACATGTGCAAGGTAAAAGTCAAAGGTAGAAGTTAATCAGTTTCCACGACCACTTGGTTTCCAAGACCCCAATATGGTATTTAAAAGTTAGAATTTCTGATATTCATATCTCAGTAAAATGTTTATGTCCACAGTATATTACCTTTGAAAAGGTTAAAGGAACATGATTTCTGAAGTGTCCCAAATTTTATGAACTTGGTTTTTTAAATAAAAAAGAAATGTATATGTGAAAGTTTTAATATCTCCCCCAATTGATATTTTTAACAATGTATAGGAAGAGTTAAAGGACAACAACTCAAGCAAAACAACAATGAATCCAAAGGAATGCATATTATAAGTTACACAGCAAGAAACAAGAATATGTGTCCATTGGAAACAATGCCCCCTCACACAATCCCATTTCTATGTTCAGTGAACCACAAAATCTGGGTCAAAACCCTAATTTAGTATATATTTTAAAAAGATCACATCATAATGAACATGTTCACAAAGTTTCAAGATGATGTGAAACCAAATTCATGGTTATACTATCTGAAACTAAAACTTAAACCTAAAACAGGACGGGAAGGACACACAGGTACTTTTTTTAGGCTCCAACCACCAATAATATAAAATTTTCATTTTACTTCAAATTTTACAAAATTCTAAAGAAAATAAAACCACCCACAATATATAAATTTGAGTGTCTGCCATCCCTCATGTATTTAAATCTGGAACAGCCCTGAAAATTAAATTTGATGAAGTTTGGTCTTATTTGGCACAGTGGTTTCAGAGTTAAAAGTCTTTTATTATAATGTTCAAAGAACAACCACAAGTGATAAGAAAAGTTCACTTTAGTACTGTGTGCAAATAGTGTATATAACATTACCTTGCTGCATCAGTTGCTGAGGCTTTTATAATGTCTTCTGTTGTTGGTCCTCCTATCTTCTTAAATTTTATATTCTGTAAAGCATTAAACAAATATTAAAGGTACAGGATAACATGCTTATCAGATTTTGTGAAACATCTTATATGAGAGTTCATCTACAACAAGTGCATGTCATCTTTAATTAGTTGTTTGTCTAATAAATATTATAGAAATTATATCTACAAATTACGATAAGTAAAACTTATAAAATGAAGTTATTTATAAACTATTTAAAATTGTAACTTGAGATATTAATTGTATCAAATCTTTTGTAACAATATAGCCATTTTTGTGCTGACACAACGTTAAGCTATTATTACTGTAAATGCATAAATTATTGCAAGGTTTTTATTAATGCGACTGAATGAGTATCGCAATAATAAGAACTCACATTCTTATATCTGATACATATAACTGTATGCAGATTTTCCTGAAATCATAATAATTAATCTTGCATTTTAGTCCATTTTACAAAATTTGCAATAATTTCTGAATTTACAGTACGTTATTCAATAGTTCATTGTGGTACACTAGTAGAAATCATATTCTAATTCCAGAAGTTCTATAAAATGGAAAAACAGAAATGAAGGTATAATATGATCAACAAAACAAGATAACAAACAATCCTTTAAAGTATCAGAGCTTTCTGTCAAAAGGTCTCAGAGGAGTTGTGTTCACAAAGTATCAATGTTACAATACACCAAAAAAATGGTTAAAGTCCAATAACTCCAGTAAAAATTGTTGCATCAAAATTGCGGTACAATATGGTCAACTACACATGATTGCAAACAATCCCACTAAGTATGAGTGTTTTTTGTAAAACAGTCTCATCAGGGTTTAGTTCACTTGGTATCAATGTTACAATACGAAAAAAAATGGTCTAACTCCCATAACAATTGTTGAATCACAATGGTGGTGAAATAGAGTCAACTAAACAATGGCAAAAAATTCTTCTATTTAAAGTCTGCAAGTTTTCTGTCGAACAGTCTTAGAGGAGTTGCGTTCACAAGGTGTAATATAACTACACTAAAAAAATGATCAAAGCCCCATAACTCCAGTAATAAAAACTGTCGCATCAAAATGGTGGTACAATATGCAAACAATTCTACTAAGTACGAGAGTTTTCTGTCAAACAGTCTCCACAGAGTTGCATTCATAAAGTATTTCAAAAGGACACTATTACCATATCCCCCGCAGTGGGGGACAATTCTACCATGAAGACCTAATTATGGATGCTATAAGTGTGTGAGTGTGTTTCATTTTTGACATAACTGCAAACTTACAGCTCTCCTTTCTACTAACTGTATATCATATTCCTCCTGAGGTTTATAGAAACACAGACAAATCCCTGATCTCCCTGCTCGGCCAGTTCTACCTGATCTGTGAATGTAAGAGTCTACATCTTTTGGTGGACTACATTGTATTACTAGGTCAATTTCTGGGATGTCTAACCCTCTTGCTGCTACATCAGTAGATATCAATACTTTGCATTTACCTTCTCTGAAACTCTACAAAACAAATCAACTTTTAAGTAAAATGCAACTATTAATTCTTCAGAATCAGAACCTTGTTTCTTTATACTCTCAAAGATTTAGGAATAATATCCATTTATGCTCCAAAATCTTATTTCAATTTCAATTTTATCTAATGTTAGTATTGACTTACTTATATAAGCAAGGCTACTGCATAGAATTGTTACAGAAAAAAAATTAATTTGTTAATTCTAGGAATATCTTTTTGGGTGAGGGTTATTTTCTATATTATTTCTCAGAATGTGTGAATCAAAGGGTAAAGATTTAGGCAATTGTGCCAATTTTCTCAAGCCCGAATCATTTTATGGCAAAACAAATTATATGGGAACAAATCATAAAAAAATCAATGCCCAGTTGAAGTACAAATATTCAACTCTTACTTCTTAATTTGGAGTAACTGCAATACAATTGATATTTGAGCCAATTTGCCACAAATCCTAACTTATCCTTTTCATGGCAATTGTCACAGTACCAATGCTAATAGATTATCCTTACAACATTAAATCTGGAAAAACTTTCTTAATCTTTATTCAGGAGAAAAATACAACAACTTTTGTAGGGGATGAAGGTGAACTCATTAAATCTTGGGAATGAAAGGGGTCCACTTTTGTTTTTGTCCATTTTTACAAATTTTCTAAAGCAAACCAAGAAACTGTGCATGAGCTGGATCGACCATTATTTTGTACTGTAATTGTTAAAATCATTATTGTGTACCATATCTTCATATACATATATATAAACAGTACTGCATAATTAATTTAAAAAAATCAAAAAACAAACTGCATGCATGGAGATGTACACTACCTTGAGTACTCTTTCTCTTTTCATCTGTGGAATATCTCCATGTAATACTTCACAGTCCTGTTTGATAGATGGACTAACTGCTAACTCATCTGCATCACGTTTTGTCTGACAGAAGACCATAGTTCGCCCATGGTTACCACTATAAACTTTAATAACATCCCCAATAGTTGAAGCTCTATCAAAGTAACTACATTTAATGGCTAAATGCTGAAAAACGATAAAAAAATATATTAAAACCTATCCATTCATTATTATTTTGTTTTGTATAGTTAACGAATATTCAATTATTTTAAATTTGAATAGTGCAAACACTTCCAATTTAAATTTTATTGATCAGTATATTTTTCTGAATAACCGCAGATAAATTTACTCTAAAATTTAAAATTAAAACTTAATTTCTATTAACTGAATCTACCTTACCTCTACATTTTTACTTGTACGATTTTCCTGACTGCCAACAAGAGCAACTTTTTCCACATTATCTCCAAAATATTTCTTGCCAGTTTGTTGAACCCATGGAGGCAAGGTAGCAGAAAAAAGAAGGGTCTGTGGTTTCTTCTCTTGCTCTTAAAATTGCATAAAAAGCTGATTAAAATACATAATATTGAATTATTTACACTCTGTTTAATACTACTAGGGGGTGTTTAACAACCTTGACTACCCATGAGGGTCTCGCTAATATTTGGGTTTTTAATACCATTATCACTTAAAAAATTGCATACTGTCATTAAACTTTAATACAATGTTTATTGATATACCCTACATCTTGTTCTTTTAAATTTTCCATTGATGTGGGAATAAATTTTCCACTTATATTAATAAAATACAATTGGACAGGATTTCTATATACATTTATAATTCTCTAACACAAACAAAGATCAACTGACAAGAATAAATCTCCACTAGTCTAGTTGTTTTAGAATATTATAGTTTACTGACAACACATACAGATGACAGGTGAAACAAATATGCCTTGCCATCAGCTTAGTTTTACCCATTTAGTAATGCTTAACTATAAATAACCCCAAGTATCCTTCTGACTAAATTTTATTTATATTTCCAAACTTCACGACTGAAGAAAATTTTCCAATGAATTTTCTGTTGAAGAAAAATCACTTTAAGTGAAGGCTTACAACCTGATTTAAACTGTCAGAATGTAATTAGCTTGTAAATTTGATTTATTTTTCTTTCTTCCTTTTCATGTAGATGGCACATGTTTATAATGCCTCATTACTACCGCTAGTTAACTTTTAAACGTGACAGATAATCCTATGAATTGCAATCATTTTATTGTAACATTCACATTTGTTTGAGTAATTGGTACCAGTTTTGGAAGGAAAATTTTTAAGTCATTGGTACCAGTTTTGGTAGGAATAGTTTTGAGTCATTGGTACCAGTTTTGGTAGTATTACTGTTCATAATTCCCTTAATTTATCATCTATGGGCCCTGAAAATGTGCTTGCCTTGCTAGTTGTTAAGTGGATTATGAGAATTTCTAAATGGTACACTTTTTAATAAACCAATTAGCATTATTCAGACAGAGATTTGTAAAAACTTCAGGGATGACTAATGTCAAATGAATGCAAGAACTGAGGAAGTCCATTTAGGACATTATAAACATCTTACCTGCACCATAGGCATGCTGTAATATATTGTCTACCATATCAGCAAAACCCATATCTAACATCTGGTCCACTTCATCTAACACTACATGCTTTAATTTAGTAAGATCAAGATTTCCTCTTTCTATATGATCATATATTCTACCAGGTGTCCCAACCAGAATATCAATTCCAGATCTCAGTGCATATTCTGAAACGTAAATTCATTATTCACTTTTACTTTGGTATACCATAATTTACCCCATCTATGGGACATATAAAAACTGATTTATTCTTATTCATATTTGATAAGCAATCATAGTTTACCGTAAGAACAAACTTTAACATGTTAACTATTGTGATTCACTGTTCCTTTTTTCTACCCGAATCCCTATGATAAGCAATCATAGTTTTCCTTAAGAACAAACTTTAACATGTTAACTATTGTGATTCACTGTTCCTTTTTTCTACCCGAATCCCTATAATAAGCAATCATAGTTTACCTTAAGAACAAACTTTAACATGTTAACTATTGTGATTCTACCTGAATCCCTAACAGTTTAAACTCCTTACCTTGTGGTGCATAGGGTGAACCACCATATATACAGAATGCTGATAGATTTGTACTAACAGAAGAAAAATCTTCACAGACTTGTTTAGCTAACTCTCTAGTAGGGGCCATAACCAAAACCTACAAAAGAAATTCAGTTTTCAATAATATAACAAGGTGATTGCAATGTGTACCAATTATCAGGTTGTCTGCATATTGATATCGTAAAATATCAGCTGCTAGTCACAATTTGAAGCTTTTTGTCGAGTGAGCGCAGGGAACGAGATCAAAAAGGCTTCATATTGTGTCCAGCAGCTGATATTTTACAATATAAATATGCAGACAACCAGATAATAGATTTATTGGGTTTTATTTGCGTATTTTGCATGATAGAAGTGAGTGTTTTCTCTGTTTCACCAGCAAACCGGAAGATGACGTGATAAGTTTGGATCAACGTCGGTTCATATATTATGAGGTCGGTGATATGTCCGGGTCAAAGTTATTAAGGCCGGGTCAATGTATTTGACATCACAAAGCTGTGATATGCAATTTTATTTAGAGCTAAGCAGAGTGATATAGACAGAGGGACCACCGATAATAATCAGTTACATAACAAAAATCATTGTGTCTACAGATAGACAATGTAATGTGCCATTTAAGTATGATGCCAGCACAGATTTGTCTCACCCTTTGTGTCTCTCCTTCCATTTAACAAAAGGCTGCATGACTGAAAACAGTATCAAAGTTTTTTCAAAGATTTAAAACTATTAAAGTGTAAGTTGTACAACTTTTTGTTTAACACATATCCAATTTAAATACAAGTCCTGCATTGTCCAATCATTCCAGTTCTCGATTACATATGGACTAATTTCTCACACTCTGCGTGTCCTAGTTAAAACTGATGAAATTTCTGACCAGTCTCAAATTTGGTGTCTTGCTTTAAATAAAATTTAACAGAAGTTATGATTTGATTCGTTTATTGTGATATGGCAAATATATGATTTATTTTCCTAATAATTGATATTGTCGTTGAGATACAATTCCAACAGGAAAAGGTATATGTCTTACCTTTGGTGCCCTAGCTGTTTTCTTTGTTTTGTCACATTTCTGTAGGATCTCCACCAATGGCAGAGCAAATGACAGCTGAAACAAAAATATAATTATTTTTCCCCTTGTAGTTACAAATATGAATAAAATGCTCCGCTGGGGCGCAGTTTGATACGACCGCAGAGGTCGAACCCTGAACAGTTGGGGCAAGTATGGACACAACATTCAAGCTTGATACAGCACTGAATTTGGATTGTAATTAAATATTTGACACAGCATAGGTTTCTGACACAGAATGAATGTGGTCTAAGAACTTAAAAAATTTTAATTTACCTATTCAAACCATATCATTATTATTTGCTTTTATATATAAATTAGAAATAACCAGTTTAAAATGGAAAATTTTAAAGAAAAAAAAATCCCCCCCCCCCCAAATTTTTTGAACCCCCTTATGATTCATCACCCCCAAACTCAATCCCAGCCTTCCCTTTGTGGTATGGTACCTTGCAGTACAATTTCAGAGAGATCCATACACTTGAACACAAATTATTGTCTGGAAACTAGAAAAATGCTTGTTTTTTTGCCCCTTTTTGGCCCCAAATTCCTAAACGTTTAGGGCAATAACCCCCAAACTCAAACCCAGCTTTCCCTTTGTGATATGGAACCTTGTAGTACAATTTCATAAAGATCCATACACTTACACACAATATATTGTCCAGAAACTAGAAAAATGCTTGTTTTTTTGCCCCTTTATGGCCCCTAATTCCTAAAATAATGAGGCAATTACCCCCAAAATCAATCCCAGCCTTCCCTTTGTGGTATGGTACCTTGCAGTACAATTTCAGAGAGATCCATACACTTGAACACAAGTTATTGTCTGGAAACTAGAAAAATGCTTATTTTTGGCCCCTTTTTGGCCCCTTATTCCTAAACGTTTTGGGCAATTACCCCCAAACTCAATTCCAGCTTTCCCTTTGTGATATGGAACCTTGTAGTACAATTTCATAAAGATCCATATACTTACACACAAGTTATTGTCATGAAACTAGAAAACTGCTTGTTTTTTGCCCCTTTTTGGCCCCTAATTCCTAAAATGTGGAGGCAATTACCCCCAAAATCAATCCCAGCATTCCCTTCGTGATATGGAACCTTGTGGTACAATGTCAGAGAGATCCATACACTAACACACAAGTTATGTCTGGAAGTTACAAAAATGCTTATTTTTGGCCCCTTTTTGACCCCTAATTCCTTAACTGTTGGTACCATAACCTCCAAAATCATTCCCCACCTTCCTTTTGTGGTATTGAACCTTATGGTAAAATTTCATAGAGATCCATTCACTTAAACTAAAGTTAGAGTGCGAAAACCAATGTGTCTTCGGACGACGCCAACGTCATACCAATATACGACCGCAAAATTTTTTGCGGTCGTATAAAAAAAGATGTGAGGTACAAATAAATGAGATCAAGGGAAAGTGAAAATTGTTTAGCACGGCCTCAATTCTGTCATCAGTATTGAGTAAGAACATTTCAAAATTAGAAATTTATTGGTTGAAGGATTCTCCAGATATTGCACAGAAACAACTGGAGCTAACAGCCCCAAAATCCTGCCTGTCATACATGTACAATAAAATATGGGACAGCACCGTCAAGGTTATTTTGTTCAATAATTTCATCTGACAGGTAAAATGTGCTGCAAAAACACAATCCAACCTGATCAATATTTTCTTTTACATTTGAGCTGACACATCAGGTTTAATTAATGTAAATATTTCTTAAAGGGGACTTCAAGTATATTGGAGTTGACTAAGATTTAGATTCAACTAAGTTTGACTCATCAGTTAAAAATGTATTAATATGAGTTTTACAGGACTGACACAATACCTGATCTTATCTCAGTTATCAACACAATAAGGTTGGTCTGTAAGTAACAATGTATTGATAGGAATTTTACAGGGACTGACACAATACCTGATCTTATCTCAGTTATCAACACAATAAAGTTGGTCTGTAAGTAACAATGTATTGATAGGAATTTTACAGGGACTGACACAATACCTGATCTTATCTCAGTTATCAACACAATAAGGTTGGTATGTAAGTAACAATGTATTGATAGGAATTTTACAGGGACTGACACAATACCTGATCTTATCTCAGTTATCAACACAATAAGGTTGGTCTGTAAGTAACAATGTATTGATAGGAATTTTACAGGGACTGACACAATACCTGATCTTATCTCAGTTATCAACACAATAAGGTTGGTATGTAAGTAACAATGTATTGATAGGAATTTTACAGGGACTGACACAATACCTGATCTTCTCAGTTATCAACACAATAAGGTTGGTCTGTTAGTAACAATGTATTGATAGGAATTTTACAGGGACTGACACAATACCTGATCTTCTCAGTTATCAACACAATAAGGTTGGTCTTTAAGTAACAATGTATTGATAGGAATTTTACAGGGACTGACACAATATCTGATCTTATCTCAGTTATCAACACAATAAGGTTGGTTTGTAAGTATTTCTGTATTATATATGTTTTACCATGTAATTAGTGAAAACCAAGACTTACAGTTTTGCCTGTTCCAGTCCCTACAAAAGAAATAAAATTCTACATTAAATATCATTTAAAACACATTTGGGCCTAGAAAAACATAGGATGTAAGTTTGACGAACTAAATATTCAAGTCAAATATGTAATCTGCTAGACTGCTATAAAAAACATGATTTTGAAAGATAATTTTGTCTATGTGTGCACTTTTTGTTTCAGGTCCTAAAAACCAATGGAAATTAGATTTTGTAGAAAATCTAAATATGGGCAATCTGTGATGCCATGAAAAAACGCTAATGCACATATTTTAAGTGACATAATTGCTATCTAGTCTTTGTTTTAGCTATGATTCATAATGATAATTGTTAATAAATTGCTTCACCAAGCGCAGCTGGATACGACCGCAGAGGTCCAACCCTGAACAGTTGGGGCAAAAATGGACACAATATTCGCGCTTGATACAGGTCTGAATTTGGATTGTAATTCAATATTTGACACATAATAGGTTTCTGACACAGAATAACTGTAGTCAAAGAACTTAGAATTGGTTATATGATTTGAATTTGCTTTTGAGCAATACACTATGTTGTTGCGAATTGACCTCCCCCCTTTTTTTTTCAACAAAAAAAAAATTTGAAGGATTTTCATTTTGATTTCTGAAATCTTGAGGAGAAAAAATTGCCCCCCCCCCCCCCCTTTTTCCAAAAAAAAATTCTTTCCCTCAGTCATGGTCATAATTTCAATTCAAATTTCCAATGGAGTTTGCAACCATAATAACCCATTTAAATACATCATAAAAGTCTCAAAATAGAAAATGACATATAAATCATAGCTAAAAGTAATTTACCTTAATCAACATTTTTAAAATTATTAAAATAGTAACTTCTAAAAATGAATTGACAGCTAATCACCTCAAGTCAATACAAAAATTCTTTTTACATAATTTAAAAGCAGTGTAAGGGAGGTAATTCAAAGTTGTGTTTGAATTACCTCCCTTACACTGTAATTTGTACTTAAGTTATTGTCCATTAACCAGGACACTCTTGTTTTTTCTCACTTTTTTGCCCCTAATTCCTAAACGGTTTGAGCCATAACCCCCCAAAGCCAATCCTAACCATCCCTTTGTGGTATGGAAACTTGTGGTATAATTTCAGAGAGATCCATACACTGTTCCACAAGTTATTGTCATGAAACTAGAAAAATGCTTATTTGGGTCCCTTTTTGGCCCCCAATTCCTAAACTGTTGGGACCATAAACCCCAAAATCAATCCTAACCTTCCTTTTGTGGTTATAAACCTTATGTTTAAATTTGATAGATTTCTATTTACTTAAACTAAAGTTATTGTCCGGAAACCAAATGTCTTCGGACGACGACAACGTGATACCAATATACGACCGCAAAAAATGTCGTATAATAAAACCTTATTTGAAATTGATAGTTAGATATGTAGTCATAAACAAGAGTGCACACGCTGAAATGTCTCGCCTTCTTTACTAATCATTGATATTATGTTGATAGTCCTAAATATAAAGCTTTATTACAACTGTCACATAAACTTAACATTAACCAAGTAAACTAAACATTGACCAATGAACCATGAAAATGAGGTCAAGGTCAGATGAACCATGCTAGGCAGGCATGTACAGCTAACAATTCTTCCATACAACAAATATAGTTGACCTATTGCTTATAGTTTAAGAAAAACAGACGAAAACACAAAAACTTAACACTGAGCAATGAACCTTGAAAATGAGGTCAAGGTCAAATAAAACCTGCGTGACTGACATATAGATCATAAAATATTTCCATACACCAAATAAAATTGAACTATTGCATATAGTATTAGAAAAAAAGACCAAAACTCAAAAACTTAACTTTGACCACTGAACCATGAAAATGAGGTCAAGGTAAGATGACACCTGCCAGCTAGACATGTACACCTTACAATCATTCCATACACCAAATATAGCTGACCTATTGCATGCAGTATTAGAAAAAAAGACCAAAACTCAAAAACTTAACTTTGACCACTGAACCATGAAAATGAGGTCAAGGTCAGATGACACCTGCCAGCTACACATGTACACCTTACAATCATTCCATACACCAAATATAGTAGACCTATTGCATACAGTATAAGAAAAACAGACCAAAACACAAAAACTTAACTATAACCACTGAACCATGAAAATGAGGTCAAGGTCAGATGACACCTGCCAGTTGGACATGTACACCTTACAGTCCTTCCATACACCGAATATACTAGACCTATTGCTTATAGTATCTGAGATATGGACTTGACCACGAAAACTTAACCTTGTTCACTGATCCATGAAATGAGGTCGAGTTCAAGTGAAAACTGTCTGACGGGCATGAGGACCTTGCAAGGTACGCACATACCAAATATAGTTATCCTATTACTTATAATAAGAGAGAATTTAACATTACAAAAAATCTGAACTTTTTTTTCAAGTAGTCACTGAACCATGAAAATGAGGTCAAGGACATTGGACATGTGACTGACGGAAACTTCGTAACATGAGGCATCCATATACAAAGTATGAAGCATCCAGGTCTTCCATCTTCTAAAATATAAAGCTTTTAAGAAGTTAGCTAACGCCGCCGCCTCCGCATCGCTATCCCTATGTCGAGCTTTCTGCGACAAAAGTCGCAGGCTCGACAAAAACCTCCTTTTCTTTTAAAATCCTAGTATAAAAAGATGTTTTTTCAAAATTTGTGATGTTATTACAACCCACAACCCTCTAAATGAGCAAATAAAATACAACCTTTTTAACTGATAAATATAATTCAAAACCTGAATAAGGGAATGATGAGACAAGATATAAAGACTGGTTTAACCCCACCACATTTGGGTCTTTACCAAGTCAGGCTATCTGATTTATTTGTTTTGTCCGTGATTGTACATTTGTATTTTCATAATAGTCAGGTGGTCGATTGTACTGATAAGTATTTATGGTGGTTCCTACTAATCTTTTCATGTAATATACAGCTGTATTTAGTGTTTAGTGTCGATGGGTTGCTATCTCACTGAGATTTACCAACATCTCATGTCATTCATATTCATTATAATTGTCAACAGTGACATTTACTTTAAAACCAAAATGACATGAATACTTTTTTTCTTTGGTGAAGTCTGCCTAATTGACCGACTATGTACTTACGTGCTTGCGCAATCAGATTTTTTCCTTCATACACAATGTTATATGTCTTGGCTTGTATAGGAAATAAGTAGGTTACTCCTCTTTCTGAAAAAAAAAAGTATCATGTATTTCATTACAATCCAAATTTATACATGTAATCACAGGCAATGGCTTTTTAAAATGGCAAATTCATTGTTTAAATTTAGTCTCATTTCTTATATTATATATTATCTTTAAGAGACTTACGACTGCTGCAATCATTGTACATATAATAAAATATTTGTAATTTAGAATCATATGTGAAATCATTTGAACTTAGAACAAAAACAGCATATATATATATATATGTGAAATCTATGTACCTTATTCGTCAAGCATCTTTCAGTTCAAGTAGTTCTCATCATGTTATTTTTTCAATTAAATGCATTAAACAATCATAAAATAACTGGTATAATTTTGTTTTTCAATTTGAAAGCTTTCAGTGGCAAAATTAAGTTTAACACCTGCATGCACACTGGAACAATGTGGTTCTGTCCATTTTTCGCTCTTAAACCTTTTTTTTAATCAGTTTCAATGTTGTTCTTTGTACATGTATTGCTAAAATTATTTTGTTGCAAACCAGTTCAGCACTAGAGTCAACTTCAAAAAGATCAACTGATTTCTTGATTTATCTTACTTGTCAAATGAACAGGTAAATTTGACCTATCAGACACTGAATTAACCTTGATAGTGATAAATGTTTTGATGAGGAGCTATCTATATTAGGGTTTGTTTGTACAGTAATTACTCCTTGTGTCACTTTTAAACTGGAAAAGTGAGTCCATGATACAATAAAATGCTCCGCAGGGCGCAGCTTGATACGACCGCAGAGGTCGAACCCTGAACAGTTGGGGCAAGTATGGACACAACATTCAAGCTTGATACAGCTCTGAATTTGGATTGTGATTAAATATTTGACACAGCATAGGTTTCTGACACAGAATGAATGTGGTCTAAGAACTTAAAAATTTTAAATTGGACATTCACCTATTATGGTCCAATATCCAAAATCTAAATACATGGTTAGATTCAGCATATCAAAGAACCCCAAGAATTCAATTTTTGATGAAATCAAACAAAGTTTAATTTTGGACCCTTTTGACCTCAATGTGGACAAAGTTGATATCGGGGCCCAAAAATCTAAATACATGGTTAGATTCAGCATATCAAAGAACCCCATATATTCAATTTTTGTTGAAATCAAACAAAGTTTAATTTTGGACCCCGATTTGGACCAACTTGAAAACTGGGCCCATAATCAAAAATCTAAATACATGTTTAGATTCAGCATATCAAAGAACACTAAAAATTCAATTTTTGTTAAAATCAAACTAAGTTTAATTTTGGACCCTTTGGACCTTAATGTAGACCAATTTGAAAACGGAACCAAAAATTAAGAATCTAAATACACGGTTAGATTCAGCATATCAAAGAACCCCAATAATTCAATTTTTGATGAAATCAAACAAAGTTAAATTTTGGACCCTTTGGACCTCAATGTGGACCAATTTAAAAACGGGGCCCAAAATCCAAAAACTTAATACATGGTTATATTCAGCATATTAAAGAACCCCAAGAATTCAAGAATAAAACCCAATTGAAATTGATCAAGAAATAAGCAATTTATAAGAAGTATCTTCTTTTGCACAATACTGTGCAATTGAATATTTCTTGCTATTGAGCAATACTGTACAATTGACAATTTCTTGCTATTGCGCAATATTGTGCTACTGGATATTTCTTGCTATTGCGCAATACTGTGCAATTGAAGATTTCTTGCTATTGTGCAATACTGTGCAATTGAAGATTTCTTGCTATTGTGCAATACTGTGCAATTGAAAATTTCTTGCTATTGCACGATACTTATTATATAAAAATTTACACATCCTGTTTGGTGTGTATCTCCTACCATATCATTATTATTTGCTTTTAAATATAAATCAGAAATAACCAACTTAAAATGGAAAATTTCAAAAGAAAAAAAAAAGGAGAAAAAGAAAAAAAAAAATCCCCCCCCCAAATTTTTTGATTCATCACTCCCAAACTCAATCCCAGCCTTCCCTTTGTGGTATGGTACCTTGCAGTACAATTTCAGAGAGATCCATACACTTGAACACAAGTTATTGTCTTGAGACTAGAAAAATGCTTATTTTTGCCCCCTTTTTGGCCCCCAATTCCTAAACGTTTCAGGCAATTACCCCCGAACTCAATTCCAGCTTTCCCTTTGTGATATGAAACCTTGTAGTACAATTTGAGAAATATCCAAACACTTACACACAAGTTATTGTCATGAAACTAGAAAATGCTTGTTTTTTGCCCCTAATTCCTAAAATTTTGAGGCAATTACCCCCAAAATCAATTACAGCCTTCCCTTTGTGATATGGAACCTTGTGGTACAATGTCAGAGAGATCCATACACTTACACACAAGTTATTGTCTGAAAGTTACAAAAATGCTTATTTTTGGCCCCTTTTTGGCCCCTAATTCCTTAACTGTTGGTACCATAACCCCCAAAATCAATCCCAACCTTCCTTTCGTGGTATTGAACCTTATGGTAAAATTTCATGGAGATCCATTCACTTAAACTAAAGTTAGAGTGCGAAAACCAATGTGTCTTCGGACGACGACAACGACGCCAACGTCATACCAATATACGACCAAAATTTTTTTAATTTTTGCGGTCGTATAAAAAAAGTCTAGTAAAGATGGCCTAAACCTCAGATTTTTTCTTTGTAAAATTTTCTAAATGAAATTATATTTAATTGTCTGCTTACGCCACATGCAAGCTGGATTCAAATGAAACTTTGCTTTACAAAACCCGGAAAATAAGCCCACTTCGATGATTATAGCCTATGATTATTTGTTGTATACTAAATGTGTGTTTACCGTCTTTAAGTGTGTATAGTACACGGGTTTTTAACCTGGGAATGATTTCTGAAAGGGGAAGGGGTGTATTATGTATGGCTAAACTATTCTTTAGACTTTTTTTCAGGCCGAATTCCAAACAAGAAACCAGGTGGTCTGGAGGAAAATATTTCCGTAGTATAAAGGTGATTGTTATGTTTTACATGTATATTTGTACCTTCTTGTAACGGATTTGTAATGTTATATGCAAATAAAAATCAATTTTCAAGCTTGAGTAGTTGTTTTTCAGTGTTTTCTTGTGTTCTGTGTTGCCGCCCGGAAGTTGCATTTGATCATGTCTAAATTAGAGATGAAGGATTCTGTCAAAGACCAAATTAGTGTAGGTGTTTCCCAAGTTTATTACTTACTTTGTATAGGTGATCATGTGTCGTGTGACTTTTAAAGGTTGTAAAGTTGAATAAAGTGATGATTTTAAACACATTTTAACTTGAAACATTTTTTTAAATAAATGAGGAATGTGTCCATGGGACACAGATGATGCCCCCGCTTGCATATCATATTAAGTTATAAAGGGACATAACTGAAGAACAGTAAAAGTGACGCTACCGAAATTTGTACTTGATCTGAGTTTTTGTAATAATAAGTATTGTGTATAAGTTTCATAAAATTTGGTTGAGGCAAACTTAAGTTAGAGAACGGAAACCAAAAATTCAGCAATTTTCCCGTTTGTAAAGGGGCATAACTCTAGAACAGTTAAAGTGAAACCACCAAAATTCGGACAAGGGTAAAACTTAATGCCCCCTCCGCTACAGCGGGGGCATAAAAACCTTCATACAAATCATAATTGCAGACATGTCAATGCCATCTTGTAAACTGAACAGACTTGATAAAGGAACAAAATTAATCAGTCAATTGATTTGTTTTGGCAGCGATTAGACTTCCTTATTGATATTCAATAAGACTGTGATAATCTGGATTAAACGATTCAATGAATACAAACAAACAATAAATAAAATTAGCAGGTATTAATATTTATTTCAGCACTAATTTATCAACATAAATATGACAATTTATTCATTTATTGTGTAATTAAGAATATTCGTAATGATTCAATATTCCGTACAAGATTCACCAACTACAATTTGCATTTAAACAACTTCCCGATTTAACACTTCCTGTTGTTCTCAATCAACACATCCCCAGATACAATAAAGAATCAAACATCGTTTGCTAAATTATTTATTCTCCAACAATATTTTCATTATCCTGTAATCAACCAGGACTGGAGTTCAAGTTGTCTCCAAAAAAGAAATCATTTCCAATAGATTCATTTTACCAAGTTTCAAGTTGGGATTTTCCCAGAAAGTCCCTGCGTGTTAAGCGTGTTTTTTTCTCAAGTTTCAAGGGTGAATAAAATGCTCCGCAGGGCGCAGCTTGATACGACCGCAGAGGTCGAACCCTGAACAGTTGGGGGAAGTATGGACACAACATTCAAGCTTGATACAGCTTTGGATTTGGATTGTGATTAAATATTTGACACAGCATAGGTTTCTAACACAGATTGAATGTGGTCTAAGAACTTAAAAATTTTAAATTGGACATTCACCTATTATGGTCCAATATCCAAAATCTAAATACATGGTTAGATTCAGCATATCAAAGAACCCCAAGAATTCAATTTTTGATGAAATCAAACAAAGTTTAATTTTGGACCCTTTTGACCTCAATGTGGACAAAGTTGATAACGGGGCCCAAAAATCAAAAATCTAAATACATGGTTAGATTCAGCATATCAAAGAACCCCATATGTTCAATTTTTGTTGAAATCAAACAAAGTTTAATTTTGGACCCCGATTTGGACCAACTTGAAAACTGGGCCCATAATCAAAAATCTAAATACATGTTTAGATTCAGCATATCAAAGAACCCTAAGAATTCAATTTTTGTTAAAATCAAACTAAGTTTAATTTTGGACCCTTTGGACCTTAATGTAGACCAATTTGAAAACAGAACCAAAAATTAAGAATCTAAATACACGGTTAGATTCGGCATATCAAAGAACCCCAATAATTCAATTTTTGATGAAATCAAACAAAGTTTAATTTTGGACCCTTTTGACCTCAATGTGGACAAAGTTGATAACGGGGCCCAAAAATAAAAAATCTAAATACATGGTTAGATTCAGCATATCAAAGAACCCCATATATTCAATTTTTGTTGAAATCAAACAAAGTTTAATTTTGGACCCCGATTTGGACCAACTTGAAAACTGGGCCCATAATCAAAAATCTAAATACATGTTTAGATTCAGCATATCAAAGAACCCTAAGAATTCAATTTTTGTTAAAATCAAACTAAGTTTAATTTTGGACCCTTTGGACCTTAATGTAGACCAATTTGAAAACTGAACCAAAAATTAAGAATCTAAATACACGGTTAGATTCGGCATATCAAAGAACCCCAATAATTCAATTTTTGATGAAATCAAACAAAGTTTAATTTTGGACCCTTTTGACCTCAATGTGGACAAAGTTGATAACGGGGCCCAAAAATCAAAAATCTAAATACATGGTTAGATTCAGCATATCAAAGAACCCCATATATTCAATTTTTGTTGAAATCAAACAAAGTTTAATTTTGGACCCCGATTTGGACCAACTTGAAAACTGGGCCCATAATCAAAAATCTAAATACATGTTTAGATTCAGCATATATCAAAGAACCCTAAGAATTCAATTTTTGTTAAAATCAAACTAAGTTTAATTTTGGACCCTTTGGACCTTAATGTAGACCAATTTGAAAACGGAACCAAAATTTAAGAATCTAAATACACAGTTAGATTCGGCATATCAAAGAACCCCAATAATTCAATTTTTGATGAAATCAAACAAAGTTTAATTTTGGACCCTTTGGACCTCAATGTGGACCAATTTAAAAACGGGGCCCAAAATCCAAAAACTAAATACACGGTTAGATTCAGCATATTAAAGAACCCCATGAAATCAAGAATAAAACCCCATTGAAATTGGTCAAGAAATAAGCAATTTATAGGAAGTATCTTCTTTTGCACAATCCTGTGCTATTAAATATTTCTTGCTATTGCGCAATACTGTACAATTGACAATTTCTTGCTATTGCGCAATATTGTGCTATTGGATATTTCTTGCTATTGCGCAATACTGTGCAATTGAAGATTTCTTGCTATTGCGCAATACTGTGCAATTGAAGATTTCTTGCTATTGTGCAATACTGTGCAATTGAAAATTTCTTGCTATTGCACAATACTTATTATATAATAATTTACACATCCTGTTTGGTGTGTATCTCCTACCATATCATTATTATTTGATTTTAAATATAAATCAGAAATAACCAACTTAAAATGGAAAATTTTAAAAGAAACAAAAAAGGAAAAAAAGAAAAAAAATGAAAAAAAAATAAATCCCCCCCCCCAAATTTTTTTGAACCCCCATTATGATTCATCACCCCCAAACTCAATCCCAGCCTTCCCTTTGTGGTATGGTACCTTGCAGTACAATTTCAGAGAGATCCATACACTTGAACACAAGTTATTGTCTGGAAACTAGAAAAAAATGTGTTTTTTGGCCCCAAATTCCTAAAAGTTTAGGGCAATTACCCCCAAAACTCAAAACCCAGCTTTCCCTTTGTGATATGGAACCTTGTAGTACAATTTCAGAAAGATCCATACACTTACACACAAGTTATTGTCATGAAACTAGAGAAATTCTTGTTTTTTGCCCCTTTTTTGGCCCCTAATTCCTAAAATTTGGAGGCAATTACCCCCAAAATCAATCCCAGCATTCCTTTAGTGATATGGAACCTTGTGGTACAATGTCAGAGAGATCCATACACTAACACACAAGTTATGTCTGGAAGTTACAAAAATGCTTATTTTTGGCCCCTTTTTGGCCCCTAATTCCTTTACTGTTATTACCATAACCCCCAAAATCAATCCCAACCTTCCTTTTGTGGTATTGAACCTTGTGGTAAAATTTCATAAAGATCCATTTACTTAAACTAAAGTTAGAGTGCAAAAACCAATGTGTCTTCGGACGACGACGACGCCAACGTCATACCAATATACGACCACAAAAATTTTTTTGCGGTCGTATAAAAAGGGGGTGCGTACTATTCATGAGTGCGTTTTATACACACCAAAAGACGGTACATGGATGCAAAGGAAAAATATTTTACCACTTAGTTTCTTTAGGGACTGTTCAGATATGTTAAAATTGTCGAATGCACCATTTTTTTCCTCAGGTGTTAATTCCTTCACTGCTGTTTTGTCATCAACTTTTGCTTGATCCTCTGTGCAGTCATTGGATAGTGCAGACTCCTCTAGTCCATTGATTGCTTTGTCTTTTTTCTTTGATTTCTTTTCCTTTTTCACTTTTGTTTTTTCCTTCTAAAACAAAAAATAATTCAAGTTACATGTATCTCTGATTTTTTTCATTTACTTGGGAGTTCCTTGAACAAATCTCTTAATAATAATAAATCATGTGAGATTAGAACTAGTTAATACAATATATAACTGTAAACATTTATTATTATAGGAGGTACACCATTACATGTAACTCTTGGTCCATTTGCTTTCCATGTCAAATTCCTCAATTTCAAGCATTCATACCTTTTTTGTCCCATGTTCAAAAATAAAGTGACAGCCATTTCATGTCAAAGCACTACCTTAACTTCTCTTGTGAAAAGAAAAATCAATAACCTTTAATTGCATATAAGAGTATACTGGTTCCAGGAACTTAGGAAGTGCCAAAACAGGTAATTCAGACCTTAGAAACCAGCAAAATATATCCTCCGTTATAAATTGCATGCAATGTATCTGTCAAAAAATGTTCTACAATGATCACCAATCATTCATCTTTCATTTGATAACAAATTACCAAAATATTCAACAATTTCTTAAATCTTGAGGAAAAAAAAAATTAACCCCCCACCTCCAAAAAAAATAATATTTGAAGAAATTTTCTTTTTAATTTCTTAAATCTTGAGGAGAAAAATTGCCCCCCCCCCAAAAAAAATCGCCCACCCTCCAAAAAAAATAATGTTTGAAGAAATTTTCTTTTTGTAAAATGTGGTACAATTTAAGAGACATCCATACACTTAAACACAAGTTATTGTCTGAAAACTAGAAAAATGCTTGTTTTAGACTCTTTTTGGCCCCTAATTCCTGAACGGTTTGGACAATTACCCCCAAAATGAATCCCAACCTTCTACTTGTGGTATTGAATCTTGTGGTACAATTTCAGAGCAATCAAAATACTTATACACAAGTTATTGTCCTGAAACTAGAAAAATGCTTGTTTTGGGCCCCTTTTTGGCCCCCTAATTCCTAATCGGTTGGGACCATCACCCCCAAAGACAATCCCAACCTTCCTTTTGTGGTATTGAACCCTTTGATTAAATTTCATAGAGATCCATACACTTAAACTAAAGTTATTGTCCGGAAACCAAATGTCTTCAGACGATGACGATGCCAACGACGTGATAGCAGTATACGACCGCAAAACAAAAATTTTTTGCGGTCGTATTCAAACAAAAAAACTTACCTACCTATCCTATTTTTTTTTTCAGGAAGTCATGTAACTAGAACCACACATATATTTTTTTTTTGCCTTAATTATCTCTGTTGGATCTCCTGTAGTTGGTGATCGCAATACTGGTATAAACATTTTGTACCAGTATTGTAACTTTTTATAAAAAAAACAGCAATACTGGTACATTACTGATATACCAGTATTGTAGTTGTATTGTTCACTATACTTTATTTAAGGTGTATTATGAAAAATGAATTTTAAGCAAAATTAGATATTGAAAATCAAAGGGAGATTAAATGAACTAAAAAAGATGATTATAGAGGATAATTGTGAAATCAATTAACAACCAGTTAGAAATAATTACTAGTACTTGTACAAATAAACAAAAGATTATTGTAATCAACTCATCCTATTCATTAGAAATAAAAGCTTTATTATCTGAGTTATTATTTAATAAATTCAAGCAAATTATTACACTATAACACTGTAAATTCAGCAGTTACATGTATGCCAGCGTATATTTTTTACAGATTTTTAATACATGTATACTAAGATCATATGCATTTGTTTGTCTTTATTTTCTTATTAATCTTTCACAATAAAAATGATAAAAGATATCAATATCCATTAAACATAAAAAGTTGCTTAATAGGGGAACCTGATTATAATCAAATTAACTAGTTTGTCTACATGAATGTTAAGGGTAGTTAAAGCATTTGATTCAGACCAATGGGCAATACAATTTGTAGCAAAAATATCTACTGGTACAAATACTCAAATACTAATACTAGACAAGCACTCCTACAGTAAGAGAGCCATACAGGTGCTATCTAAACAAGCATGTAATCTAGTAAGCATAAGAGAAAGTCCACAGACTGAATACCTAAATATCAATATAGGAAGTGGGGGTTGTAGAAATGCCTTCTGAAGAAAAAATAAACAATGCCAATGCTAATGATACAGAAGCTATAACAGCATTAATGTCAATATAAAATTCACCAAAATATACTATTGGGTTTTGGAAAGAGACAGCTGGAAGCAAACAGAAGAAAGTAAAGAGTTTATTAAAATGCTGAGACAGTACAGTTCCCTTAAGAAAAAAAACATCAGAAGATTTAAAACTTTCTTTGGTTACAATCACAGTGTACCATCAATGGCATCATCAGTTAAACCAGAGACATATATACATGTGTATATAGACATATATACATATGTGTATAATTATGTCTCCGGTTAAACATACAATCATTCCATATAAAATTGTCATGTCATATGTTAATATCATTATGCATATATATATGACACCTTTAATAAAAGATTAATTACCTATCTGTATTGTTTATTTAAAAAAAAACACAATACTGGTACAATACTGGAATACAATACTGGTACATATTTTTATACCAGTATTGTGCACAATACTAGTATACCAGTATTGCGATCACCAACTACAGGAGATCCGTATCCTCTCTGTTGGATAATTGTTGATACAATTATTTATCCATTTTAAGAAAATATCTTGCCTGAATTTTTGTAGCTTATGATAACTCATGCAGTATAATTGAATGGTCACAATGCGTTCTTAATTGCATGAAAACCGATAAATAATACGAGGATATGTTTAACTGTATTGTATGCTTTTTACCGACTTTGAATAAAATTCATTTGGTTCGATAACAACAACAGAAATAATAGAGATCAAAATATAATATATGAGTCTGGTGAAGAGGAACCGTTGTGGACCCTGTACCGGAAAACAATATTTATAAGTAACATTTAGTAAGTAAGTAGTATAGAATAGAATAGAATATATTTTATTCCAAATTAAAGAGCCCACAAGGGGCAACATGAGATTATAACATTACACATATTAAACAAATACAGAAGGAAAGAATTACTCGATTGATAGAAATTGTGACGTCATAATGCACTTAATGGCACGAAACCCCATTATACGAGGATAGTATCCACTTTCGGGCAAAATTATGAAAGCTTACGATTTTCTTTTCCTTTTTACAAGTTTCTGTTTTCATTGTGTTAGTTTCTTCTTCTGTTAATTTCATAATCGACGGTCAGTGCAAACGATGTCAACTTTACTACACGTGCTTCCGCCGGAAAGGACCGAGGATAAAACATGTCCGTTTGATTTCGACCCCGGAACAAAATCTTGCAATCTGTATCTGTATTTCCCACTTCTGTATATGGATGGGTACGTCACAGATTCCTTTCGGCTATTGTGTGACGGGTTGGTCTGCGCACAAGATAGTCGCGCTTGCTGAGGTGTGCTGTTTTAAACTCCTCGGTTGTAATGACGCACGCTACCGAGTCCTCCAGATGGTTCCACTCACTACTGCAGTGCGCACAAAAATAGAGTGTTTTAACTGGTCTGTCTTACTGTTTGGAACTATGACCGCTCGTTTGTTGTTACGGACTTGTTGGTCTATAATGTTCTTAGTGATAAAGTTGCAATACTACCAAACCATTTTTGGAAAATAAATAAAATGAAATTCAAATTTGGCGCAAATGAAATACAAGCTTGTGGCGCAAATGAAAGATTGGATTTTGTAAAACTTGGCGCAAATGCAATGCGCCCCTTAACACTATGTACATTTGCGCTTAAACTCTAATACATCTAAACTTAATTGACCGGGCATTTGCGCTTTTATGTACATTTGCGCTTAAACTCTAATACATCTAAACTTAATTGACCGGGCATTTGCGCTTTTTACTCAAGATAGTTTACCTGTAATCTTAACCAAATTAAACAAAGTAATGGAAATATGTTCACATGTTCTTTGAATGTTCTACTGAACAAACGACAAAATCAGAAAAGAATTATTCGGATAAACGATAGAGAAAAGGAAGTTTTTATGGATGGAACATTTAAATTTTGAACATAATTCCGTAAACAGCTTAATAAAATTCGTGGATTTAAATTAGAAATTATATTCCTCTTGTGTCCATTCTATTGCATGGATATTCCGTGGAACCGTAACATCATGGCTTATCTAGTAAGCTGGTTTCAATTTGTGAAAACCGAAATTTGATTTTTTTAAAACCACCTGCTGTCCATGTTGTCTTTTAGAGAGAGTCATGGTTGTTATAAGGAATTTACTTCCATTCGCCCTCTTGAAGTGTTGTCGTTTTTATCTGACACAAGCATGATGGCAAATATAGTCTTTTAGCGGTATATAAAATATATATAAAATTGAGAATGGAAATGGGGAATGTGTCAAAGAGACAACAACCCGACCATAGAACAGACAACAGCAGAAGGTCACTAACAGGTCTTCAATGCAGCGAGAAATTCCCGCACCCGGAGGCGTCCTTCAGCTGGCCCCTAAACAAAAATATATACTAGTTCAGTGATAATGAACGCCATACTAAACTCCAAATTGTACACAAGAAACTAAAATTAAAAATAATACAAGACTAACAAAGGCTAGAGGCTCCTGACTTGGGACAGGCGCAAAAATGCGGCGGGGTTAAACATGTTTATGAGATCTCAACCCTCCCCCTATACCTCTAGCCAATGTAGAAAAGTAAACGCATAACAATACGCACATTAAAATTCAGTTCAAGAGAAGTCTGAGTCTGATGTCAGAAGATGGAACCAAGGAAAATAAACAAAATGACAATAATACATAAATAACAACAGACTACTAGCAGTTAACTGACATGCCAGCTCCAGACTTCAATTAAACTGATTGAAAGATTATGTCTTCATCATATGAATATCAGGCACAATCCTTCCCGTAAGGGGTTTAGTATCATACCATCATAACATATATGAGAAGAACATAACCCGTGTCATGCCAACAGCTGGTTTTTAAATAAATGTGTTTAGTGCCGAATGAATGTATTGTGTTTTGATCGAATGATCTTTTAAACTGTTAACCATAATATAACTCAAATGTTGTGTTAATAAAGCGCAAATGTCATTTTTTTAAAAACGCAAATGTCCAAAAATATTAAAGCGCTAATGTCCATCAAGTGTCCTATCAAAAAGCGCAAACGTCACGCGCCGTATATAAGGTATATTAAGTATATATATAAAAAAAACAGAGACACGTGCCTGTGGGCCTTGTGCTGTTTTCTGCTCTTTGGTCGTGTTGTTGTCTCTATGACACATTCCCTGTTTCCATTCTCTCGATCTTCTATTGTTATAAAAAATAAAGAAGAAAAATACAATATAATCTGGAATATTAGATATCATATATTACATCATCGATCATCCATGAAAATGAGGTAACGCTGAGATGAACCCTACTAGTATCAGACGAACATTATTATTGTCATATACCGTATACAGTCATTCGATATACCAAATACAGTTGACCTATTACTCTTTACGTACCCGAGAAACGGACATATCAACGGAAAACGCAAAATTATATGTACAAATAAAAATGTGGTTGCAGGATAATAACATGGACGGAATTCTAAAGCGCCACCGCGTCCCTGATCTCACGATGAAAGTGCAACCAGAGGTTTTCTTTGAATGTTTCCAAGTCGGTATCCATTACGATGTTTCCTGAAAGTTATAACTGGTTTCAGTCTCGGATTGTCCTAAAATAGAAGTTGTGTTCATATTCAGAGGTGTTGCACTGGGTTGCATGGTATTGACTATGTGACAATGTCACGTTTTTATACGACCGCAAAAAATTTTGCGGTCGTATATTGGTATCACGCCGTCGTCGTCGTCGTCAGCGTCGTCCGATGACATTTGGTTTCCGGACAATAACTTTAATATAAGTCAATAGAAATCTATGAAATTTAAACACAAGGGTTATAACCACAAAAGGAAGGTTGGGATTGATTTTGGGGGTTATAGTCCTAACAGTGTAGAAATTAGGTCCAAAAAGGGGCCCAAATAAGCATTTTTCTAGTTTCCAGACAATAACTTGTGGAACGGTGTATGGATCTCTCTGAAATTTATACCACAAGTTTCCATACCACAAAGGGATGGTTAGGATTGGCTTTGGTGGGGGGGGGGGGGGGTAATGGCTCAAACCGTTTAGGAATTAGGGGCAAAAAAAAAGGGGGGGGGAACAAGGGTTTCCTTGTGAATGGATAATTACTTTTAAGTACAATGTTTTGTGTTTGGATTACCTCCCTTACACTGCTTTTAAATTATGTATAAAGAAATGATGCATTGTCTTGAGGTGATTAGCTGTCAATTTATTTTTAGAAGTTACTATTAAAAATTCTGATTAAGGAATATTAATTTTAGACATGATTATGTATGTCATTTTCAATTTTAAGACTTTTATGATGTATTTAAATGGGTAATTATGGTTGCAAACTCCATTGGAAATTTGAATTGAGATAATGACCATATCTTGAGGGAAAGAATTTTTTTTGGGGGGAAAAGGGGGGGAGGTGAAAAAAAATTGAGGGGGGGGCATTTTTTTTCTCATTTCAGATTTCAGAAATTAAAAAGAAAGTTTCTTCAAATATTTTTTTTTTTGCAAAAAAAAAGGGAGGGGGGTAAAAAAAAATTTTGTTTGGAGGAGGGGGTCAATTCGCAACAGCATAGTATATTGTACAAAAGCAAAAAAAAAGGGGGGTAAAATATTTTTTAATTTTTTTTTTGGGGGGGAGGGGTATAATTCGCAACAGCATAGTGTATTGCACAAAAGCAAAAAAATGAATATAAATTTAAATCATATAACCAATTCTAAGTTCTTTGACTACAGTTATTCTGTGTCAGAAACCTATAATGTGTCAAATATTTAATTACAACTCTGATTACAATCCAAATTCCGACCTGTATCAAGCGCGAATATTGTGTCCATTTTTGCCCCAACTGTTCAGGGTTGGACCTCTGCGGTCGTATCCAGCTGCACTCGGCGAAGCAATTTATTTTCTGTTGTTAACAAAGGTAGTTAGTGTGGAATTTCGATGACTTCTTGGTGTTATAGTATCGTCTGATACAACTTCTTCAATCTTGTGGTCGCTCATAATGTCAGACATCTTTTGGTTTATATTTGTACCATATTGAGGTGATGATTTGATTGTTCCGTTTTCCCAGTTGTTTCTTGAGAGTTCTATGGTGCCTTTTGGATTTCTGTAGAATGATCCAATATAGAGGTTCTTATTTGGAAACCTTAACGAATTTAACTTTACTATAAGCAAAAACAATTGGTTCAGTTCAATATCAAATTCTTACACTGATGATGAAACGCAAGATACAAATAAGACAACAAATTTAATATCAAGTCGAAAAAACATCTTGACAATGATTGGCATCAACACAACCAGTCTATACTCATTAAAATATTAGCATTCCAATCAATGGTAGACATCCATATATATATATATATAGACCAGATATATTTTGTTAGCGAGACCAAACTTTCAAAATCCATCTTTTCTACCAACCAACTGATCAATACGAAATAATTAAACATAGAAAAAGGAGATAGAGGTGTGCCAGGTGCCAGCAAGCAGTGCATGTGATATCATATGGACTCGAGAACAGGTAGAAGGCCCGGAACTATGTACCTTGCCTGCGATTGCTACGGTCAGTGTAAAAGTGTAATGTTGACTGTAAAAGGTGAGTCCATTTATCAGTAAAATACAGAATTAAAAAAAATTAACGTTTTTTTTAAATGCTATTTCTCGATCTTGAAGATTATTTCTGTCCAAGTTCATAACAATTCATGAAAGTTTACAGATTCATAATGTAAAAAAAAAAATTAATCCCAGACTGGGATAATTGTTAACTGCAAAACAAAAGTCCATATATCAGTAAAATACTGAAAAATGCATTGAAATATATTTTCAAAATTTTGCTTCATTCAACAAAAAGCTCATGCCAATTAAAGTTTCATAAAATCCATAAAAGGTTCGACAAAGTATAATTGATGTGTAACAAACGGGAAAATGAAATGCTCTGGGTACTGTTGTTTTTATCATAAAAAAGCTTAGGTCCAACTTACTTAAAATACTGTAGAAGTTTGACAAAGTTATAGGTGACTGAAAAACTTTAACATTAGACTGTAACCTTAATGATAACTGTAAAAACACCGAGTCCATTTATCAGTGAAATAAGGATAAAACGAAAACAAAAAAATTAAAAAGTTTGCTCTGGATATATACTGTCTTTTGGTCATAAACACGCTCAAGTCTGTCCAA